GACATTTTGATCTTGTTGGATGACATTTTGGACTACCATATCGGTGACCTATCAGATTCTATCTCGGTGACTTTCGGTGCTGTCTACCTCCCCCCACCTCTTCGTCTCTCCTCCCCCATTCATCTGTGTATGTGTGTACGGGGCTGAGCATCTTCTATGCATGGCTCAGACCCCACCACCTCACGATTGTATGTGTGTGGAGTGATGCTATGTGAGTCAGTCTATGTGAGTCAGTCCGTTCATCAGACTTCCGTTGCATATATGCTCATCCTATATTGGTTGATCCTTGGTTCTGCCCATACTCATTGGAGTATGTAACACTAAGCGACTCCAGTCCAGTCCAGTCCAGTCTGCTCCGCTATAGTCAGTCCACAGCCCAGGGTCCCAGGCAGGCCAACGAATATTCTGCAAACGCCGAAGGACAAGACACCCAAGCCAGCAAAGTACCATACCAACCAGGTCTCCGAACCGATGGCTAGAAGCTGAATCATAGCAAACAAAACCATAGGAGCTTCTGCCATCAGTAATTGATTCTACTTGGGACTACTTGGGCGGTTCCAGAGAATCTGACTTCCGCGGGCCTATTGATAGCTAGGCGCTCTTGCTTGTGTGGAAGCGCTTCACTGCTGTGTCACAGAGCGACCAAGTGATGAGATCGGTCAGTGAGCAAGATGGACCAGTCAGTCAGTAGTCGACAGGCGCTGGGATCCATAGAGGTAGATTTCCCATAGCTAGGAGAGGAAGAGAGAAGACATGTAGGGAGGAGAGGAAGAGAGAGAGGCCTGAGAAAGTGTGAGAGTTCATCCTCTTGTTGGTTGATCCTGACAGCGATAGCCACCCCATCAAACTCCCTTGCATAAGGCTGTGTTTTCTCTTTTTTTTTTTTTTTTTTTCCAGAAAGGTCCAGGGTGTAGTAGAGGGTGGTGGCCAGGCCTCCACCATGGTACCATGACCTATGCTAAATCTCAGATCGGAAGTCGTGATCTGTGCCAACGCGTACCTGACTAACCCGAACGTCTTCATGCAGACACTACCCTCCCATAACTCTAATGTTACGGATGATCCGGGCACGGGCATGGATGGGGTCCATGCATATGCAGTCATCCCCCATTTGTGCCTCATCCCGCAACTCTACGGGGAGCGAACCGCCCTTCCACTAAGATGTGATATCACGCCCTCCCCTATCCTAAGCATGATGCCTTCCTACCCAAGACTCCCCAAGAATCGACAGTCCCAGCTAATTCCTCCAATGAGAATTCCCATGGACCCCAGCCTGGACGAAGCACCACCCGCAGACATCGTGAGATACCTGTGGGATGAGATGTACCCAGTACCTACCCCATACTAACACCCAGTGTGTGTGTAGGATTATCGTCCCCGAGATGGGCCCTATCGTAGTCTAAGTTCGCTCTGTGTGGACTCTTGTACAGGCGCCATTGTGACGGGAAACATACTGGCCATACCCAGGCTCGACCATGGCACCCCACAGACTGGTACAAACTGCCAAGACTGACAGCAGATCGGAGGGTCCAAGTGGCCACACTGAGGTATCGATGATTTCGAGAGTTCTCGGCTGTTTTTCGGTTATCGACAGTCTAGGCAGAAAACCCTCCACTTTATTCTACCCTAACCTATCCCTCGGCAACATAAGACCCTGATCCTCAGACCACTAAGACCAAGCACTCAAGCAGCCCTCCTTACGGTCCTATTCAGCATACTACAACCATGGACCTGACCCCTTGGGCGGTGTGCAGGCAGTGTCTGTAAATCTTACCATGAATCGTCCCAGGGGTGAATGGCTTGTGGGTTATGAAAGCGCTGCCGGTGTACGTGCACGAGGCAACGGAGTTTTGAACCCGCAACCTCAGACCACAATGCGCATTTCCAACCGGTGCTCTAACCACTGAGCCAACGGCCATCCACATAAGGCTGTGATTCACATAACTTGAGTTCTTTTTTATTTTTTTTTATTTTTTTTAAACCAAGCTCTGGGTGCTACCAGCAGGTGGGGCTCCCACTCATAGAATGGAGCACCCGGCCGAAGGGCATTAAGTGGGGATAACTAGTTCTCGTATCGTGTGGCTTTGGATTTCAGCTTCGCTGTGAGCATGAGACGTTGGTTTGACGCATGAATTCCGACTCATTGCAATCTGGTATCACAGCGAGCTCTTGTTGTCTCCTCTGCTAGGAGAAAGCTGGCCGGCGTGTGAAGGAGAAGCGTATACCGGGGTGGAAGTGGTCCGCTGGCGAGGGCGGAATTTGCCCGGCCGCAAATGGCCAGGCGACTTGTGATGGAGCTGGATATGTTTGCTGGCGAATGGGAATATGTTTTTTTTGGTTCAACGGCTTCCTTGCTTGACAGCTTGTTGGAGGGTGGGCAGCAACATCGTGGAAGTGAACTGTATCGAACCCCTAGCCTTGCATGTTGCTTGTCGTTCCTTTCGGTTTTGTTGTTGATAATCCGGTACGCTTTTGCCTCGGTGACCGCTGGGCTGCAAGTCAAAAGTCGATCTCCCAAGTCCTGATTGGTCAGGTGTCAGGTAGATGGTCAGAGCCTCAAAGGGTCTGCCGGCTTCCAATGTCGTCCTGCGTGACGTTAATTAAATCGTGATTTGCACTTGGCCTCCAGTCTCACGTCCCTCTATACGCCAGAAAGGGTTCTCCTGATTGTCGTCGTCTTCATGTGGCAACATTGAGGCTGTGGAGAGTGGGTAAGGAAACAAGATAATATACCATATGCAGAGTAGTCACGCCGGCGGTTGGCGCCCCTGGATTGGTCGGGGCCCGACCAGCCGACCGTCGGACTGGTCGGCACCTACCTGTCAGGGGTTGGTTGGCATCCCGCAAAAAAAAAAAAGAAAAAAAAAAGGGTCCAGAACCCCAAATAACCCATCAACACCCACATAGCCCCCCCCAACAGGCCCATACAACCCCTCAACACCCCCATACCGCCCCCTAACACCCTCATACCCCCCCACAACCCCCCTATAACCTTCCCCCWATACCTCCCCCTATAACCCCCACTACCCCCAAAAAATGTATTGCAGATTTGGGCTGCTCTCCTCAAGCCACACACGACCATGCAATCAGGGGAAAAAAAAAAAAAAGTTGCAAGGCAGTCTGCTGACCACCGACGGGTCCGCCTACGGGTCGGCCCGACTGGTAGGCGCGCCTACCGCCTACAGTAGGCATCGGTGGTAGGCGCCGAAACTACCCTGGTCCATATGGCCAAAATCCAACCATACCAGCTCTTATCTACACTGAACCCTTAGTTAACCGGAATTGAAAATTGAGGATGGCCCGGTGGGATTGAATTCATCGACTGCTCTAGCTTACTGAAACCGTGAGGAGCACAATTATTCTTTGCCGCTTTGCTCGATTATGTAATCAGTCGCTTATCTAACTTTGCGCTCGTGTACCCACTGTGTGCATGCATATAAGAGAATATTTCTTGAGTTGCACTTGGCCTTCAGGTTGCCCTCCTTTGTAGATAGGTAGTTTTTTTTTGTTTTTTTTCCCTTTTTTCTTTGTAGGTAGTTAGGTTGATCCTCGTCTCAATTGGACGAGGCAACATTGAGACTAGATACCCCAATAACGACCGTATGTTGTATTCGTGTCAAGACGGTGATGATAGCAAAGAGGAGATTGACCAAAACTTGTCTCAAGGGCGGTATTGGTGGAAGTTGAGGGTCAGGATCAAGCACCTCAAGCAGTCGGGCATACACGCCGTGACAGCATGAGTTAAGGTGGTACAGGGACTGCAGGAAGAGAAGGGAAATGAAGACAGGGTAAGTGGATGCGGATATCAGCAAAAAGAGAGATCGTAGAAATGCCCCAGAAAGTCCGCTTACCGGAGAGCCTACTACACCCGATATAGCCCAAAGCCGAGAAGATGAAAGGAGGAAAACATCCAGATGCACATGCCTAGCAAAGTATACCAGAAAGAGGGAAGAGGACCTCCTTACCTCGATAGCAGAATATCTCAGTCCAAACAATTCCCCCAACCTCGCAGCCCCTCGCTGCTACCCCCTTTCCGGGTTTTTTTCTTCTTTTTTCCTGACAGCTCCTCGTTGCTACCGCTTGTTTGAGAGGAGAAGCCAAGTTGTGGGTGATGCATGAGGTGCACTCTGATGGGTACGGGGACCCATTAGAAGTCTGGGGGAAGGAACATGGTGCTTAAACTACCTGTACATGGCCCCAGCCAAGTTGAGAATCGCGATTGAGGTCTCTCCTAAAATTTCAGAGGCTCCGGGCAGGGCCTCCTAAGGGCGGGTGGGGAAAAAAAATAGTCCCACTCCTTGGCGTGGGACCAGAGGTAGCACTGAACAACAACCCCCCCCCCGGTGGGACCTGTCCCAAATCCCCGAACTTTCCAGAGAGACTCATTTGTTATTTCACCAGATGTACTCCTGGTTTGACGACTCCTGGGATAGGCTGAAGGAACGCTTCCTAGATAAGGATAGGGAGGACAAGGCCTCCCGGACCGTCATGAAGACAGGAGGAGATCAAATGAGAGAGAAAGAAAGAGAGAGAGGTACGTAGACCCGCTAAGCAGGAAGATGGCGGCATAGCTCTAGGTGCCGAGCAACATTCTGACTGACCGGCAAGCTGCGTATCAGTAAGCAAGTGCCCTTCCTGAAACCATTAGAACTCAATTGTCAGACATTTAAAAAAAAAACAATTAAAAAGAAACTCAATTAAAAAAAAAAAGAACTCAATTATCAGATCTAGCTTTTCCCAAAGATTTATGAAAATTTTGCCAAAAGTAAACAACTTAATAATATATGACAGAAAAAAACTCCAAAAAATAGAAAAAATAATAATAAAATGGAGAAAGTCCTACAAACTTACAACAACGTTTCCAGAAAATGAAAAAAAAATCATAAAAATCATAAAAAAATAAGTTTAAATAACAATAAAAATAATAAATACTAAGTACACAAGTACAGTAAATACCAAATGGCCATGTATACCTGGCCATCTCCATGCCCAGTATTCAGCTGCAGAAGGGATGATGTAAACTCTGCGTATCTCCGTGTAACATAATGGGGGTGGATGTCATCCTCCCAAAGCGTACGTGGATTGGCCGATCGCACACTTGTCAAGTGCATTTCAAACACAAACTTGAACCTTGGCCAGATCAGCATGTTCACCTGAAACACATCAAAATCCATTTAAATTTTAAAATCGATCGAAAGACGTTTGCCCTAACCTTGCTGTGCCCATCTGATTCCCAGAGGACTCGGACTCATGCTCAGTTCGGAAAACCAAGTTCGTCATTCAGCCGTACTGTGCAGCATTGTCATGCTCACTCGCCCATCCGATTCCATCAGGACTCTAACTCATGCTCATTGCTCAGTACGCCAAAAAACAAAAAAAAAAACCTAAGAGTCACACTTGTGTAACCATCCAGCCGTACTGTGCAGTGTTCCAGTGCTTACTGTACCCATCCGATTCCATCAGGACTCGAACTCATGATCAGTACGGGGAAGAAAAGAAAAAGAAAAAAAAAAAAAGTTAACAGTCACAATTGTGTAACCATTCAGCCGTACTGTGCAGCGTTGCGATGCTTCACTCTACACCGTTGAAACCATTTTTACACTGCCCCATCGGTTCTGGGGGACTCCAATCTGGTTGCTTATCCCCAGGAAACATCGCAGAGCAGAATCATTTGTCCCTTTTTTTTCTTGGAGGGGGGGGGAGTGGGGGGATACTAAAATAGCACAGCTTTGCTATTTTTCTTTTTTTTTTTGCTTTTTTAAACACACACACACACACACACACACACACACACACACACACACACACACACACATGCCTCGTCTATTCTGAGGGCCGGCAGTCCGGGAGAGCAGGTTAAGGGAGGCGTCAATTATCAGACAATTTGTCACGCCATATTTATTAAAAAAAACAAGGGTCATTTTAATAACAATTGACCGGTTGCTTTCTTATTACTAGCAAGTGCAGGAGTTACGAGTAAGACACGGAGAAATATGAAAAGCAATGAAGCCGTCGTGGTCCCTAGACAACCAGCCAACGATGTCCCGTTGTATTTGAGACCGATGAGTTAACCCCACCGCCGCTAGCGTTTTACTGTTCAGCCTCTCCATGTTTGCAAAAGCAGAGACGCCAATCCATTTTCCGTGCAAAGCTGCGCAGCAAAACGTGTAAAAGGTTGCCTAGATAGTAACGCCAACCCTTTCACATATTTAACTGTCCGACCGTCTTCCCCCTAACGCAATGCACATGTTGCACTATCTTCACAGCTGTACTTTTCGGGCAACTTTCAGTTCAGATTCAGCAATAACGGCTGTGAGTTGTACTCGTAGTTTATAGGCTTCTTCTTAGAGTTACAGACAGGGATTCTAGTCTTTGCAGCAAAGATGTCAGAACCAAAAAGAAAAAGTGTGAGAGAGAGGGAGACAGACAGACAGAGACAGCAACAGTGGAAACACAGAGAGAGAGAGAGAGAGAGAGAGAGAGAGAGAGAGAGAGAGAGAGAGAGAGAGAGAGAGAGAGAGAGAGAGAGAGAGAGAGAGAGAGA